ACATAACAGGTCTTGGTTCTCATTTTTCCCCTTTTCCCTACCCTCCCATCACCCCCCTCCTCCCCTCCCCATCTACAAACACTTTATTTACATCTTTTCATTATCTCACATTTTTTTCTTTGCCCTTATTACCCTTCCACTACCCATCCCACCTTCCCTACACCTTTAGCCCCTTTCTTCCCATTTCACAATGTCAGTAATCTTATAGTAATGCAATTTTCATTTTTACAGTCTAGGATGTGATAAAATTCACAAGTGATTTATTATTGCTTATAGCATACAAACTTTATGGTTGTCACTAAACTACTTTTCTTACAAAATGTCTAAGAAGCAAAAGCAATTATTTAATACTAGCCTGCTTTTCCTTTCTAAAAGACACTGACTTGAATGAAACTAAGAACGAAGTAATAGGTGCATATTGGCCAATATTGGTGCATTATGACCACAGAATTGAAAGTTTCACTAAGGTGACTCAACTTGGCCAAATAAGATAACAGACCAGGGAACCAGAAAAGTTTAATTTTGACCTCCTGGAGATGAGACAAATTTCATTGTCTCTCCTTGCCCAGAGTAGCTCAAACTCAGCCTTGTGGCTCTCTGTGCTACCTAAGCTCTTGTTGAGACATCTATTCTGGGCATTTGACAGTACTTACCAGCACTTGTCCGATCTCAATGAAATACTAATAGCACCCAGCATGCACACCACAACCTCCATTAATGCACTGCAAAAGATCTCCAGCATTTCTCAAAAGTCTAAAGCTACAAAAGTCCACCATATGATGATGACTTAATAATTCTATAAAACCCTGTGAAATTCTTTTATACATGAATAATACTTCTTCCACAATTATAAATCTGAAATCTCTTGATATTAGCTCAATTTATTTACTAGTAACTAACATAAGAGTGTCATTGGATCCAAAAACTCTCTGAGTTGCTCCACATACCTTTCCCCTTGGTCTCCATGGTGATGAAGAAGCCAGAAAGCTCAGTTCACCAGAGAAGGACTGGCTATGTCAAGTACAAGTCAGAGGTCAGTTTCCAAACAACTAAAACATGAATACATTTAATGAGACATTTCCTCTGTATCTCACCTTCTTGCTCCATCATCAGAATTACCACCATAATTTCATACAAAAAGAATTTAATTTCATAATTGTACTCGTACTCAGGAAGTTATTCTGGGCAGAAATGAAGAATTTTTATGAATTATCTCAAAAGCAAATGAGAGAGATGATGAAAGTTAGCTCTGCAGACCAGTGCCTACTAGAGATTCTTCAAAATTTAAGGCCTGTTGACATATTTTACTGAAATTTAGTTTGGTGTTTTAAGTACATTTTATTGTATTTCTCTTTCAAAACACTTTGTTGTCATCCATTATATATTCTACTTCATAAATTATAAGTAAATTAATTTTTAAATATTTGCTCTAAACACCATGAGACATAAAATTAATATTAAGTGTAGAATATTAAAATCTCCAATACAGGATTTTGAATTTCTCTATTTTTCTTGTGCTTATGCATTCTGTCTTCTCATCTTTAAAATGAAATCTTTTCATAGTACCTTGTTTAGTTATATGTATTTGCAACTCTTTCTTAATTTATTCTTTAACATATTAGTAAAATTTTATTATTATCCCTAGTATACAGCATAAGAATTAGGCTTGGAGAATCTATGTGGAAATATATAGAAATAATTATTCTACAGTGTGGTTACTTGCCAAAGATTGGTACTTCAAAAGCAATAGTCATGTACATGCAAAGGGCAAAAAATAAATCCTTTGTGACCTGTTTATGTGGATCCAAGGCTTAGATGTTCAATTATGGTTATGGAGTTCAGTCAATCTGATTAAAGGGATACAGTATAGTGCTTTGTTCAGGGCCAGCACACACATGTTTACACATGTTCACAAATACCTAATAGACAAAGTAGTAAAAAGTATTCTATCCAATAATTTCTACCCTTCTCAGGATATGACATAACCAGGAATGAACTTGTACTCAATTTGGCTTCTCTGATGCAATTCTTGCTGAGGAAAATTGACAAAATCAATCCCTTTGGACTCAGCAGATCTTTACGCCTCTCAGAGATTCCCATGTGATGTGAATGGAATTAATTAGAATCCACTTGAGCCACTTCCACACCTTTTCACATTCCCAGGTGCACTCCCACTGAACCTGCATCATGGTGCAGAGGCCAGTGGCTCCAGACCCCCTGGCCACACCCCTGCATCACCAAGGGCCACACTTCAGGACCTAGATCTGCAATCAAAGGAGGCTGGGCCATGAGGCCATTCTTAAGAGCTCAAAAACATAGCTCAGGACAACAGAGGGCCTCTCTTAGGCCTCATGATGAAAACTGAAGCCCTCTGGGAGAGTGAAGAAACTTTCTCAATTAAGTTATACCTGACCACATTGCTTAGTAAGTTAGTAGGATCAGTACCTACCATAGGAACCCAGACTCATTTCTGCAGAAGGGTAGCTAAAACCTGCAGGAGAATCTACCAGTGTTCAATCTGGCAGGAGGTCACACAGCTCAACTTGTACCTTGCAGCCAGAAATCAGCCTGAATCTCAGTGGACAGGGGCTGACTTGCTGAGACTAGTAAACTTAGATGTGCACACTGCTGCCCAAATTGTCTACCACTGCAGCAGAGACATATACTGAAAGGGATTTTTTTGTTGTTGGTAATTTAAAACTTTTTCTTCTATTTTTTCCCTCTTATTCTTCATTTCTCTCTTTTCTAGTTTGTGATCCCATCATATTTTGGATTTTATCTCTTTTCTTTTCTTGATTGCTCTCATTTCACAGGAAAGTGAATACAATTTCTAGCTTCTTTGGTGCTATTAGTTTGTTCTGTTATTGTCTTTTTTACTTCCCTCTGTCTTTTCCTCCTGCCTACAGCACTTTTGCAAAGTTTGCATGATCTTCCTGTGTCCTCCAGCCTCACTTCTATCCTTTCCCTCTTCTTCTATCTCTCTATCCCTTCCTCCCCAACTCCTTCTAAATCCTCATCCCAGAGGGTAAATTTACTATAGTGAAGCGCTTATTTACTGCAAACACATTTCAAGGCTGTTTCTCAATTTTGATCCAGTTCACCCGGTTAAAAGTGACAGACTAATAACTACCACAATTTGTCATTTGCTAAACACTGTTTGATGCTATTGTTGGTGTCGATTGTATTACTTGTACCAAAGTGTCATGATTGATCTAATCAATTGTCCTCTCTGGAATACAGAAACTGAGATTTCCTAATAGTCATGAGA